TGAACCTTTGTGGGTTTTTCACTTGCCATACTAGCACTGCAAATCCTTAGGGTTTTGTTTTTGTTTTTGTTTTTAAAACTAATCCTGTATTTTTCTGCTCTATTATAATTCATTAAAAATAATTAGAAAAAATTACTGAAAGTTTGGAAGTTTAATAGCATTCCAAGAAGATGTTTATAATTTTGCAAAGGAGGAATGTAGAGCAAGCACGTAGAGGCCTATGACTTCAGTTAGTAAAACAAAACAGTGATGGTATACCAACTATGTGCCATGTGTGGAAGAGTGAGATAATTTCAGAGTTTACCTTACAACCTAGTGGGCATTAGACTTGCTTCAATGAATAAAGATCAATAAATAACAATAATATGCATATTATTTGCAAAAATAAAGAGATATTTCTCAAGGGCTGAAGTACCATTTTTATTTTATAACATATAAGTACTTTCAAAATGGTGAATAATAGCACAGACACAGTGCAATTCAATTCTGAATCCACCTTCAAATAATATAATTTTAATATCAGTGGAAAATCTTAATGGCATTTTGCTGTAGTTTATTAGCTAATTTGCTCTTTTATAAGTTTTAAAACCTTAATTGAAGAAAAACTTTAATACATGATGATTTCTTTAGTATTTTCCCTAGGGTGGCTGATGTAGACTTTTCTAAACTCTTTAAATCACAGACACCACCAGAGCAAGACGAAGCCAGGAGAGTGATGGTGTTGAATATATTTTCATTTCCAAGCATTTGTTTGAGACAGATGTACAAAACAACAAGTAAGTCGATGTTTCTTAGATTTTGTGTGACTTTTGCTTTTAAATATGTGCCTGTATATCCAGTTTTAGCCACCTGAGAGTCCCTTTCCATTTGAAAGGTATTTTAATTTTTATAATATTTGAAACCAATAAAAAGGTAATAATTCAGTTAGTAGTTGTTACCAGTCTTCACCTGTAATTTTTAAATAATCTAGAGCCACTATGTTTCTGATAAGTTAAACACGTAGAAATTATTTTGAAGAATGAGGGGAGGGTTGCTAGTGTCTTTTTGTAATCTCCTTCCACCCCACTAATTGAATCATAACATATAATTTGGATAGAATTTTATTTTAAAAACAACTATACTAGATTCCTAGTTCCACAGTTTCCTCCATACACACCTCTCCCTCTCTCATTAGCTTTTCAAAAAATTGAAATAATGGTAATCATCTTGTTTGTATCATATCCTTTAGCTAGCCCTAAGTCCCTTCTCCCCAGGTCTTCCATTTGTTTAAAAATGAATATTTTAGGGTATGAGGGAGCAATGTGTGTTTTAATGCAGGATTGTGGGATTTTATTGAAACATCAAAATGCTTTTTTCACATTTGGCACAGCGATTATGTTTTTATAGCACATAATCAGCTGCCCTGGTTCCATTAGCCACCAACCAGTTCCTCCTCTAGTTCTGAAGCTTAGCTTGGTTATTCTGTAGTGTGCAGTCAAATTTCAGTAGTTTCTATTGTTTGGCTTATTCACCGTTTTATTGCATTGCATTAGTCCTGAAAAAAGAGGTGATGGAAAACATTAGAGTACTGCTGGACTAAAGTACTTTTTTCTGCTTAAGTGTAATACAAGTAAGTGTTACTGATTTAAAAATGTAAAATAAAAGATTTTTTAAAAATTTGACATTCCGAGTACTTGGCCCTATTTATTAAACACAGTAAAAAAATTCCATGTTCAGCAAAAATATCTTTTATATATAGGAATTATGCCTTGCCATCTATCTATATATATTTAATTCATAAATGATTCTGATGCACGTCTAATTTTCTACAGGTTTATTGAATATGGTGAATACAAAAACAACTACTACGGCACAAGTATAGACTCAGTTCGGTCCGTCCTAGCTAAAAACAAAGTTTGTTTGCTGGATGTTCAGCCTCATGTAAGTAAACCATGAGCTTTCCAACACCTTCAGGCTCATGTAATCTACTGCACTTCATGAGAGTATTTCAATATGAGGTAACTCTGAAGTCTACTCACTTTGGGCATATATGCGGCTTTCCTAAGATGACAAAAGCATTTCAGTGTAATTTGGTGAACACGAAGTCTTTGGTGAACAAAAAGCCTATATTATTATTAGAAAAGAGGAGTAGAGGAAGTCTCGAGATCTATGTTTGTAACTCTTATTTATATTCAGTTTTTGTCAAGTATAATGACTCTTAGATATTTCTTCTATGTATTTAAAAAATATTAGCATGTATAATATATTCCTATGTGTTATGTATTATAAGTATTCATAATTTTCAACAATGGACATTTTGGTTCTCAGTCCTCTCTTTGATTTTGGTTCTGTATGTGTAACGAGGCATTCACAGGAATTGTATGGCGTGAGATCCTCATTGCAGCTGTCAGGCAGATCTCTGCCAGGCGCCCTGGGGACTCTTATGAACACTGTGGACTGAGAGTGGATAAAGCCATTCAATTCCTTGTCATATCACATAGCCTTTAGCAGAAACCAACCCACAGCATTTTCTCACTATCCAGAGGCCACAAAATCTCCCTCCACAGATGGCTGCACCCTTGGGTGCAAACCTCTAAGAGCCAGAATGACCCGGAGAAGTCTTTTGTACCTCTTAAGAGTCATTAGGGAGGCTGACTCCTAACTTAGTCCCCGGCGATGGATAGAACGCTCTTGCTTGTCCAGCACCTCTCTGCCGGTGTTCTGGGGCTACTAATTCCCAACGCCCTCGCTGTGGTTTACACTCTGCATTCGCGGGGCCTCAGCATCCCGTCCGTCTCGTCTCCCCGACTGCCACCCTACGCATGCACACACACACAACCTGTCTGCCTAACCTTTCAAGGGAGTTTATGATTTATATCCATGTTCTGGAGAGGTCTCAATTCTCACCCTCTGTCAGCCAGGTGAATCCCCAGAAGCACAGTGTAAATAATGTAAAGTATTTGCTTGGGGAGTGTTGACAAGAAGGGAGAGCGGGAGGCTCGCCCATCGAGGGCGCTCTGAAGGGTAGAGTGAAAGAGAACTCGTGCCTCCGATCAGGAAGAGGCTTAAATGAGATGGTTGGAAGACTTTCACGTACTGGTGGTTGTTAAACTCAGCACCTTCTGGTTACGTGACTTAAAATTCAGTTTCATGGTATTTTTAGCCACTTCTGTTCAATATTAATTATGGCATCATTCAAAACATTTTTAAAGGCAAGTTGCATTCTCCATTATTTTCTCAGCGGTGCTTATTACATTTAATTGTCAATAACTGATTGAATAATTATATACTGAAAGACCTACTGACCTTAATTAGAAAATAATTTTCAAGAATTTTCTCCTTAGAAAATAAAATTCAGTTTTACTGTAAAAGCCACTCATGAAATCATGGAGATATATAAGAAAACATTTCTTCTTCCTTGCAGACAGTGAAGCATTTGCGGACACTAGAATTTAAGCCCTATGTGATATTTATAAAGCCTCCATCAATAGAGCGTTTGAGGGAGACAAGAAAAAATGCAAAGATTATTTCAAGCAGAGATGACCAAGGTGCTGCAAAGCCCTTTACAGTAAGTATGATAATGTATTAGTGAAAATATGCAAGCAGTACTTAAAATCAAATATGCAGTAGCAGCTACCTTAGGAAGACTATAATAGATAAACTGATCCAAAAATCTATAGTATAGAATTGTATTTAGGTACATACATTTTTGAGTGATTGTACTGTGATTGATTTTTGTGCTTCTGTCGATGGATCTTCTATTATATTGACTCAAAACTATTTTGCATAACTTATAAAATTTTTGTAGGTCATTTATATAAAAGTTAGACCACTTAGTTTTCAGACTAGCCTTAGTTTTAATGGGAAAAATACCAAAGTCAGTTACTGTTATTCATTAATAGTCTAGATGAAAATTTTAATAATTTGCCTTTTTTGTCTCTTGCATCAACAGTCATAGTTAGCATAGTAAAAAAAAAAAGCATTTTGGGTATAGGACAACTAGACTCATATTATTCAATAATTGTATTTCCTATGAATGTTATTACAAATGGCAACTATGGCATATTAACGACTATAACAGTTTATGGTAAGCCTTTCATTGTTTTTTTGTTTTTAACCTTAAAGTTAACATATTCTACTTTAGGATCAAAAATTAAAAGCAAAGAAATTAAATGTCAAGAACTTTTCTTCCTCTCCTCTCGATTAACTCATCTTGAACTTTAGTCAATATTGTACACTCTTAATTGTGGTTACAAAATACAGACATGCTTTTGATTCCCAGTATTTAATAAGTAACTTTTTCTACAGTGATGCCAGTACATGTCCATGCTAAATGGGAACCGTCATATGATGTTAGTTACTCAGGGCTCTTGCTTAACACTAAAGTTAAATTTTCTGTTGTGAAGTCTTCTGAGACACTGAAATGTGGACTTTGAAATTACTTCACTATGTTGCAGAGTAGAGTTACTGTACTATCTATAAATTTAAAGGTTTCTCAGTGGAGATAATAAATGATAACAGTGTTAGGATCTAGCTCACTTATATTTTTATATATAGTTAATATAGTCTTGAATTATATAATGAACTGAAATACTCAGTTTCAAAACTGTGAGTATGAAGGGCCCACCGGATCCACTTCTAATGAGACATAAGAAGAACATGGCAACTGTCCTTTCACAAATGTATCCAACTCTGAAAAAGTAGTTTTTGTTATAAATTCTTTGCTATGAATAAGCATAAAAAATGCAGCATCAGGCTAAAAGACTCTTCCCACCCCTCCCACATAGCTGTTTTAATACTAAAATATCTTTGTAAGTGATTATCCTGAACTTCAGGTAAGACAGGAATTTTGACTCTCGTCAGAGCAGTTTAGTTACAAGCAAATCACAGAAATGGTGTTAGAAATTATGACTTCTGAAGAACTCGTAATTAAAGAGGGTAATTAATGTTCATTTCTGGCTGAGGTGAAAGAACTGACACAGAACAGCATTAGATAAACCATTTGTGGAATGTTTGTACTGATATGAAGTGATGTAATTACCTGGTTAACCACTTAAAAAAATATTCCTTTTGTAGGAAGAAGACTTTCAAGAAATGATTAAATCAGCACAAGTAATGGAAAGCCAATATGGTCATCTCTTTGACAAAATTATAGTAAATGATGATCTCACCGTGGCATTCAAAGAGCTAAAAACAACTTTTGACAAATTAGAGACAGAGACCCACTGGGTCCCAGTGAGCTGGTTACATTCATAACTAAGAGAAATTTCCATAATCATTTTTTTTGTAGAGTGCATGATTGAATCAGTTACCATTTTGGTGGTAGGGTTTTTTAAAAATCTGTATCATTGTCATAGATGTGCAATCTTGGTTAAAATTGAATGTTGGTTCTGTTTGTATCTTTTTTAAAAATAGCCTTATTTCAAACAATGTTTGAGTGTAAGATCCAAAATCAAAATTTGCACAGTAGTGTATTCCAAGCAAAGCTTTAAACTTTCTGGATGTTTTTAATATGTAGCTCTAAGATGCGGTTGAACTTTTTTAGAGAGACATAGCTAGAGAATATATGCGAGAGTTCAGTGCTTCAGACTGCCATCAAGTCTGCATGTTCGCAGATGAAGGTATCAGCAGCCTCGTGCAGGCTCCAGACAGGACAGCTCTGCCGTTCTTTGAGTGGATCACCATAGATTCACCTGGGCTGCCAGTAAGGAGGAGTCCCCTTTCTATTCTAAAGGTGCAACCTTTTTCTTGTAAGTCCTCACTGAATGTGGTTGATGGTATTTAACAATGTATAATGAAACCAATGTTATCACAGGCTAGTCGATATAAACATGAGTTAAGTTCCTGTGGCATCTCATCGTTACAACAAAAGTTACATTGAACTTTTATTCGAGGACCTGCTGTATGTTCACAGTGTGTGCATTCGAAAGTCATTCTTGAAGAAATTACTGAAAACTTGCCTTAGTGGCCCTCGTGTTATAGTTTGAGAAGGCCTTATGAGTACATATCAGTGACTCAACCAATATTTAATAAGGGAAGATAGACATATAAAATATATATAACTAAAAACTTTTCCTTGTGGCATTAATCTTAGAATGGTGTTATCTTGGGGTAAGAAATGATTACAAAGGACTTTTTTTTATTTGTATATCCTCAGACCGCATTACTGGAGTCACCAAAAAAGCTTTTTTAGCTGGCTTTGGATTTTGCCCATAAATTAAAAGAATGTGATTCTTATTCTAAAAGTAGAGGTCTTACATGTTACTGATTCAGTTAAAGGCAAATTTTCAAAATGCACAGTTGATCACCATATATTTAAATTGCACTAAGATGTATTTTAGAAAAATTTTCATGTAATGTTAGCATCCTTCATCATCAAAATAATCCTTAACACTGGCCAGATGCCATTCTAATCTTATGATGTAAACATTTAGATGGGATCTCTCATTTTCCTTTGATACTACTGATCTTCAGCAAGTAATTAGCTCAAAATACTAGAATGTCCATAAGACAATGTGTCCTGCCATTCAAAAATCATTGCATCTATGACTTTCAAACAGAAAAATATTATTTTTTGATTTGTAGAGTTTAGATGTCATGTTTAAAGAAAAATAGAATGTAGTGAAATTTTATATATTTATGAACTATTTGAAAAGCATATTTTTTTATCAAATGGGGCTCTTCATAAAATTGTATAGATGGCATAATTTAAAGTAGTAATTTTATAAGTCAGGGTCAACATTCCATGTAAATATTTGACCTTTATTTGTACACAGATCCACTACTGTGTTATATGTGCACTGCACATTGGATATTATCCACTGGATTTGCTTCAGACATGTCAAATTTCATATTAGAAAGACAAAAATGGCAATGGCCTTGATACACACTCACACCAAAATACTTAATCAGACTAAATGTTAACATAATCCAAACATTGAGTTCTAAGTTTATGAACTAAATAGCAAGCAATACAGTTTTTTAAAAAGGTGGGGTAGGTTGCCAAATCTGCCACTAGAGCCATACTTTATAGTTGTGTGGCTGGTCTACAAAAACATAAGTCTTACGTAGATGGTTTGGGTAGAATGTTCTCTGTGTTACTGAATGAAATTTCCTATAAATCAAGATTTCCTATACAGAGAGTAATGGGAAATGTATCATTTAGGCCGTCTAAATTGTTTTGTTCTGAAATATCTACTAGGATTATTTTTTTCATCTGCAGATAATGCCTCAGTTCTTTACTATGGAGGTAAAGATGGTGTAAGGTGGCAGAAACTGAGTCCTTTTTCTTAGTGATGGAGGTCTTACAAAAATAACTGTCCAGACTTTCTCCCCCTTTAGACGAGAGCGGAGCAATATTTTGAAAATAATGAAAAGGGGCACTTTGAGAAATACTTTATCAGGTAGTATGCATGGTCTTGCAAGTGACATTTAGATGGCTGTCTTGATGCTTACAGAGAGATTTGGTTAGTTTAATAAGGCAGGCCAACTCCAAGGGCTGGTTGACAACTATAGCTAAAAGCCCTTGATTGATTCTGTATTTTCTGCATCCCCAACCTCCTTCTCCAGGAAGGAGACCAGCACCGTGTACTGTACTGTACTGTTCTTTGAGTAGCCGTCTACTAAAACCGTGCTAGCCACTATTTGAGAGAAGAGGAATGTTTACTTAAGTGTATATATTTAAAATCCAAGATCAAAAAAATTCTATGTTCCCATGATTAATAAATTAGAATTGGTTAAAAATAAAAAGGTGAAATTGAAAGAATTTTTTACCATTATTATACCTGTCAATATCGATGTTGTTAAGGCTGACATTCCTGGTATTATATAATGGTTGGATGTATCTAAATTTTAATAATTTAAATTGACAAACGTGGAAACTTCTCAGATTTACAAAACTATGTTAAAAGCTTCCCGAAGATATAGATTTTTATTATTTATTCTTTTTGATTAGTAAGGATTTATAAATGTAACAGAAAACCTTTGGTCTTAATAAAGTATCTTCAAAACATGTTTTTGTACTTGGAGATCTATCACACTGCTTCTCATGGTAGAACTAATTCTGTTTTTTACTGATACTAAGCAGTTTATTTGAACTTTTATGTCTAAAATTTGTTTCAAACAATTTGTTGGTTTTATCAAGGTTGTTGGGAGATGGAATTCGCGAGTCCTGCTCTTACCCATACAGTGGGATGTACCATCCTGGCCCACCCATGACGGGGTCACCACTCCCCCCACAGGCAAAGCTAAACTTTTTCCACTGTGCATATGAGGACAACCTGCCACCTGCTTATACAGACAAGCTAATTATTGGCCTGGCTTCAATAGTGAGCCAATTAGCCCCAGCTCTGTTTCCACTGAAAGCTTATACAGTGTAGCAGTTAAAAGAATTGTTGAGTTTTTGCTAATTACCAACTTTGCAGCCTTCAGAAAGTAGTTTAATCTCTCTGGTCCTAAGCAGAAAAACGGAGGCAATAATAGTACTTACCTCATCAGAGTCTTGTGGGCATGAAATAAATGATCCATGTGAAGCACTGGAACAAAACCTGGGATAGACGTATTCAATAATTGTGAGCTGTTTCATAATGATCATTCCCACATCACATAATTTAAAAATAGCTACATAAAATTCTAATTTTCCTACACACAGTTCCCCTACTAGTGAATTCACTGGAAGCTTTCTAATAATTTCTATTATAAGCTTTATTAAAAAAAAATCCCATTACTTCTAAGTGATACATCAGGAAATAATTAGGTAATCCTCAATAGGAAAGTGAGCCAATTTTTATTTTTAGCCACTGGTATGCAGTATAATATCAGTTTGAAAGAAATGTCTCAATGTCCTTTCTTCTGCTACCATCCTCCCTTTCCAAATGTTTGCTCAGTTACACGTAACCTGCAGGGCAAGAACTATGTTCCCTTTATAACTGCTGTCTTTTATATACACCTGCGCAGGCCCGATCACTACCAGAAGAAATTGGACTTAATAATCACACATCTGTATGATTTCCATACACTCTCATTTAGTCCTCACAACTATCTGATATGAAAGACAGTACCTTGATATTTACAATTGAGAAAATTGAGAGGCAGGGCTTCAGTACCTTGCTCAAGGCGACGAGCACTGGAACCAGGATTCAAATCGTGGTCTGGTTTCCTCCAACTTCATGCTGTTTTCACTGCATCACGCATCCTGGTGTTGCTATAACTTGAGCCAAAGCTGGAAACAGATGAGAACTGGTTATTAGGAGAGTGACTGTTCATTCCTTTTATGTACATACAGTTTACAACGAGTTTTAGCAGAACACTGTTGATGTATCTGTGCCTATATAAGTAGGTTAATCTTCAAACACTGGCTATTATTAGAAGCATAAAAACACCTACATAGAAGAATATGCAATTTTCTGTTTGGTCTGCCTGAGACACAGTCCTTAGTGATGAATCATGACTGGTCTAAGTCAATTGTGGTGATATGCTCTGGGCAATGATTGCTCTGAGTTGGTCATACTACCTAATTCCAGGTAATCTGTTGGAAGAGCCATAAGAAATGCTTGTTTCCCTGATTTAAACGAACAACTGCATGAGGTGAAAATCTTATGCCCTGCCATGATCCTTCCTGTTTGAGATGCTTCAGTTATGTTGTCGTGCTTGCCAATATGACAGGCACACTCCTAGCCCTGGACCAGCAGATGGTAAAGGCCAATCTACAGAGGATGACCAAGTAGAAAAAGGAGAAGATCCTAAATCCATGTCACTGAGCTGTCGAAAAATTCCTGAGGCCTCCTTCCTCTAATTGCTAGATAAGCAATAAATGTTCTTCCTGTGCACAACTGGTGGGAATATAGATTGATGCAGCTACTAAGGAAAATGGTATGGCAGTTACTCAGAAATTAAAAATAGAACTACCATACGATCCAGCAATTCCACTCCTGGGTATGTAGCCAAAGGAAACGAAATCACTGTCAAAGAGACATCTGCACCCCATGTTCACTGCAGCATTATTCATAACAGCAAAGACATGGAAACAACCTAAGTGTCCATCAACAGATGAATAAAGAAAATGTGTGTGCATATATATACACATATATGCATATACCCACACCATATACACACATGTATACACACACAGAAAGGAATCTTATTACTCAGTCATTAAAAAAAAAAAAAGGAAATCCTGGCTTTTGTGACAATATGGATAGACCTTGAGGGCATTAGGCTAAGTGAAATTAAGACAAATGCTACATGTTCTCACTTATATATGGAATCTAAAAATGCCAAACTCATGGAAATAGAGAATAGAATGGTGGTTATCAGGGGCTGAGATGTGGGAAAAATGAGGAGATGTCGGTCAAAGGGTACAAACTTCCAATTAGAAGATGATTTCTGAAGAATCTAATGAACAGCAGGGTAACTGTAGTTATACTGTATTAGATACTTGAAAGTCGCTAAGAGAGTAGATCTGATATGTTATCACCACACACACAGAATTATGTGAGGTGATGGAACTATTAACCTCACTGTAATCTTTTTGCAATATATACATCAAATCATCACGCTTAATACCTTAAGCTTACATATGTTATATATCAATTATATGTCAGTAAAGCTGCAAAAAAAAATAAATGTCTGCTGGTTTAAGTCACTGTTCGGCTGCTGACTTGCTGCTGAAAGCACTCCTCATGGAAGGCAGTGTCCACGAGCAACTCTGGCTACTCCCAGTATCTACTTTCACTTACCAAAGGTTGCCTTTTTGCTCAACTGTCACATGCCCTGCATTGACACATTGGTTGAACTTTAAAACACTCTGGAACCTGTAGGGTAGACCAAATAAGAGACTCCAATTAAATTTTCTTTTTCCTGGGTTCCACTTTTTTCCTCCATAGTATGGACGAGAATTTCATCTTAAAATTCAAATTTAGAGAAAGCTTATGTTTTTGGATTTACAAATTTATCATGGTGGTGAGGCTACCATTTTTAACAAAGTATTGCCTGTTTAACTGTTTAACTTGACTTGGCAATACTAACGCCAAAAGGTTCCATTTGTTCTGTGCTGGACACTCTAATTAGTAGTATACGATCTGTTTATAATCGTTGGCTCCACTCAGTAGGAATATATTGAAATAACTATGACTATAAAACAATAGAATTGCTGTCGATGTTGAAGAAAAGTTATATAGCATAAAGTAATAACTTAAGAAAATATATTGCTATTAGGAATCAATTAGATACCACAACAGGATAGAAGAGGGACGTAAGCAATATAAATGTACTTAAATATGATAAATTAATATTTTCTAAGAATTCGAAGGCAATCAACTGTGGAATTAAAGTAAACACAGGGCAATCAAAAAGAGAATCCATTAAATGTGATGACAGAAACAAGACCGATGGATCTCTTATTACAGATCAGATTTGATTGGCATAAACTCATGTATTAAAAGACAACTTTTCACTATCAAAAATTGAAACTATGTATTTCTAGAAGAGAAAGATTTAAAGCAAAAGAATTGGCAGGAATAAGGCAGACAGATGCAAATAAAAAGAAAGCAGAGGACATAATAATATCAATGTTACATTTGGTATTCATACATTGGTTCAAAAAGTCATTCTTTAGCAATCAGTGGTATAAGCCACAACAGGAAGAATATTGAAGACGTACAGCACAAATGAGAAATGTAATCAACAAAGCCTCGTTACTTCATAATCTTTAAAACACTTCTTTTAGACCTTAAAGAAAAATAGTTATAGGAGGTCCGAATATCATAATTCCTCAGACTGATTTTACAGCCAGGAAAGCTTTGTGCAGAAATTCTGGTCAAGATGGAGGAATATGTAAACACTGTGCTCGCCTACTCCCGTGACCACATCAAAATTCCAACTAAATTGCAGAACAAACATCAGGTGGAGATGCTGAATAAACAGGTCCCACACACATGGTGTGGCAATGTTAAGAATTGGGAGGGATATCTTGGCTTTGGAGGTCTCCCTTAAGAAGGGAGAGTTCACAGTCCCACACTGGACTCCTCAGCTTGGGGCACCAGTTCTGAGAAGCTCCAATAACATCTGGCTGTGAAAACCAAGGATTGCACCTGAGTGAGACAGAGGGCTGCTGGAGACAGAAGTGCTCCTCTTGACGGGCCTACACATGAACTTGCTTACAAACTTATTGGCTCTAAGTCCCAATGTGGGGCAGTAGCTTGAAAAGCACCAGGGACATAAGGGGAGTAGCTAAATTGACTAGCTTCAGAGCAAGGGCTGAAGGGGCAGGGGTCAGGGCAGCTCTCTCAGTACAGAAGTACTAGCAGGTGCCATAGTTCCTTTGTTAAGCACTTCTACCCAGCAGACCAGCATAGGCGGGTACCAAATCTGTACTCTCCATTGACCTGGCTGACACTGTTGGCACCATCCTGGGGATTCCCTGATATCCCGCCCCACCCAATTTGCTCAATATACCTGAGCCATTTCCAGCAGCTTTCCCACACCAGTGGCTTGGCTTGGCTTGCACTGCAGACTTTTAAAAAATCTCTCAATGGTCTACTAACCTCAAACAGGCAGCAGCAGGCCTTGGTGTGCCCTACACCTTCTGCTATGTAGCCCAAGCCTGGTGCAAGTGGCAACCAGACTCAACTTGTATTGTAACTCCCATTGGGAGGTCCACAACTTGGCATAAGTGGTGGCCGGTCTTGACTTGGAATGTAGCTTTAATTAAACAGCCAAAAGTCTGGCACAAGAAGTGGCTGGCCTAAGCTCACATTATGGTGCCCATCAAAGGGTACCAAGCCTGGCACAAGTGGCATCTGGCCCTGGTTCCAGCATAGCCTCTCCCAACTGCCTCCAAGTACAGCAAAGGCAACAACCAACCACAGATCACTTTCTAGCTCTGACCAGGTGGCCCCAAGCCCAGCAGCGGCTTTACCTTGGCCTGCACCAGAGTTCCTCTAAGAGGCTCCAGAACCAACACACCTGATTGCCAGCTTCAGACCACACAAGAACACCACCCAACCAGCTCCACAAATGATATACTGAAAGGTAGACTCAGCTGGCACCAGAGCCCCATGAAAGTGACTCCCATGGGGTCAGCTCATCTGCTGCAGTCAAAGCCAGCTCTCACAATCAGTTAGCCTGAGGGTTAACCCCTGCACTGATGTGCCACCAGCAATCAAGGCTCAACTACAATAGTAGAGCACATGCAACCTATACAAGAAACACCCATGGAGCATCTGGCTTAGATGACCAGGGAGACTGTGCCACTGGGCCCCACAGTACACCTACCACATAAGGCCTCTCTGCCAAGATTGGAAGATTTAGCAGATCTACCTAATACAAAAACAAACAAATAAAAACAAAAACAACAACAAAAAACCCACAGGGAGTTCTTGAGGTTCTCGAGACAAAGAAATATGTCTCGAATGAAAGAACAGGACAAAACTCCAGGAAAAGAACTAAACAAAATGGAGACAAGCAATCTACCAGATACAGAGTTCAAAACTGATGATAAAGATGCTCAGTGAACTTAGGGGAAGAATGTACGAACTTAGTGAGGATTTAACAAAGAGACAGAAAACAGAAAAGGATATAGAAAACAAAGAATCAGAAATGAAAAATACAATAACTGAAATGAAGAATACCTTAGATAGTATCAATATAAAATTAGATGAAGCAGGGGATCAATTTAGCAATCTGGAAGACAAGGTAGCAGAAAACATCCAATAAGAACAGCAAAAAAGAAAAGAGAATTTTAAAAATGAGGTATTTTAAAGGATCTCTGGGACATCAAACATACCAATATTCACATCATAGGGGTGCCAGGAGGAGGAGAGAGAGCAAGAAATTAAAAACCTATTTGAAGAAATAATGAAAACTCCCATAACCTGGCGAAGGAACTAGAAATACAAGCCCAGGAAGCACGGAGTCTTGAACAAGATGAACTCAAAGAGGCCTATGCCAAGACACATCATAATTAAAAGGACAAAAGGTTGAAGACAAAGAGAGAACCTTAAAAGTACTAAGAGAAAAGCAGTTAGTTACATACAAGGGAGCTCCCAGAAGACTCAGCTGATTTCTCAACAAAAACTTTGCAGGCCAGAAGGGATTGACACAAAATATTCAAAGTGATGGAAAGAAGAACTACAACCAAAATTACTCTATCCAGCTATCATTTAGATTCAAAGGAGAGATAAAGAGCCTCCAAGACTAGAGAAAGCTAAAGGAGTTCATCACTACTAAATCAGTATTATAAAAAATGTTAAAGGGATTTAAGAAGATAAAAAAATATGAATAAGGAAATATAGAAAAGGAAAAAATTATCACTGATAAAGGCAGACACAAAAGCAGTAG